TCGACAGTTCTGTGTACATTCAAATCTAAAAAAGCTAAATGTCCATTTATTTCACGTTCTACCGTGAATTGGATGGACGGCTCAATAGAATTTAAATATTGCAGCAGAATATCGATCTCATTTGTAGAAACCGCAGAGATGACATCATCGACGAAACGTTTCCAAAACGATAGGGACACGAGAACAGAGGCTAAAGCTCTTTGTTCGACATCTTCCATTACTAAATTAGCAATTACTGCCGAAACTGGTGACCCCATCGCTGTTCCAAAAACCTGTTGATAATAACAGCCCTCAAACACAAAGTATGTGGCGTTGAGACAAAAAGACAGAAGATCAATAATATCTTCTACAGGCAAGGATGTTCTTTGTAACAAAGTGGCATCCTGTCTTAGTCTTTTTGCCGCAACCTTGATGGCAAGATCAACTGGGATATTTGTAAACAAGGAAACGACATCAAATGATACCAACACTCTTACAAATTCTGCAAAATGCCAGGAATTTTTGACAGTGTTTTCGGTATTTCCCACCACGGGAGACAAAATTTTTGCCAAAAAACTTGAAACTCCATATGTAGGAGAATTCACAAAGGACACAATAGGTCTCAATGGAATTTCCGGTTTATGGATTTTCGGTAAGCCATAGAAACGCGGAGATAGTCCATCACTGCTGTATAACTTTTCATATGTAGCCTTGCTGATAATATTGGATTTCTTCAAAAGAAGTAACTTGGCGTTTAAACCTCTTTGAGTCTTTCCAGTAGGATCAGACTTGAGAATAGAATACGTATTTCTGTGATTCAACAGTGAAAGAGCCTTCTCGCGATAATCATGTTTGTCCATAACAACAACGCAATTGCCTTTGTCCGCTGAATGAATAATTAACCCTGTCCAGATCTTTTTTAAGAGCAAGTAAAGCATTGAAAACATTCGAATCAATGTTTTTTGGAGGTATTTTGGCACGTCTAAGAATGCTACTGACCTCAGCTCTTACCAATCGCTTAGCATCATCGTCTAGTGGAAAAATTCCTTCTTCCACTGAAACAATGATTTCGGCTGTTGGAATTCTGTTAGGTACAACCGCAAATTTTAGGCCGTGTTCAAGACCCTTCCTTTCCAACTCACTTAGCTCTTTAGATGAGAGATTTTTAACCCATCTCTTCTTAAGATTCGAACCTGATTTATTATATCGATTTGTTCCAATCAGACGCAGCAATTTTTTGTCATGCTTCTCTCTCTGTTTGATCGACTCTTTGCGAAATTGCGAACGACAAAACTCTTCGATCCATAGGGCTTCAGTGCAGTCGATCAAACCAGAAGCCACGATCTTTAAGAAGCCACGATCGCAGTTTTAGATCACCCCTGATGAAGACACTAGACTGGAGTGTCGAAACGTTGGGTCTTGATTACAATTCGACCGGGATTTGTAATCATTTATTCAAACCACAGTAGCGAGCAAAACAAGATTGATATACCTGGTTGCAGTGAACGAACAAACTTTATATCTATACGGGAAAAATATGGTCAAAATGTTGTTTCGAGGCTTCGAGAGCTCGTCAACATGAAGATTCGTATTGTCAAATATCGTAGTCATTTGTATTTCAATCATCGGTGAATGGAAAACAAAGTTTTACCGTTTAGCTTGCGATTCAAACCTCCAATACGGAGTAAAAAGGGATACAAGCTAATGGAAAATACTGGTTCTTCTTTTCTGAGGTTGGGTATAAACGATTGTCATCCGCAGTCTAAACAGCGTCTGCGCTCTGATTGTCAACGTTTACTCTGCGAGCTTTTTGATTTGATCGACTGCTCTGAAGTCCTATGGATCGAAGAGTTTTGTCGTTCGCAATTTCGCAAAGAGTCGATCAAACAGAGAGAGAAGCATGACAAAAAATTGCTGCGTCTGGTTGGAACGAAACCATCTGATAAGTCAGGTTCGAATCTTAAGAGTAAACTGCAAATGGACTCGTAGGTGGTGCCATAACATTTTGAGGAAAGGAAGGGAGACTTGAGGTTGACGACGAAGACACCAAGGCCAAATATAGTGCAAATGGCAGACTACCCTAGCGAACACGATGCAGGCGAAAAAAGAACCCCGAACTACCGAGGAAATAACAGCTGGATTAGACGCTGTTGACTTTAATACTGATTGAACCACAGGAATGCTCGTGGATGTAGTAAGTAGCTAGTTAACTTGTTCGGGCATTTCCTTTTGAAATTTTCAAAGAATTACACTGAAACTAACTTCGAAAAAAAGCACTTTGCGAATAATGCCAGACCCACGTTGTTTTTTCTTAATATATTCATGTATCGAATAATCTACATGCATATTCAAACGCCTAGCAAGTGATGTTAGCTAGCGCCTCTTAATTCTCTAATCTCTGTTAACTTCCATTATTGTGCCAATATATAATAACATTAAACAATAAACAAAGTCATTTCAAAGTAGAAAATATGGTTAGTTCTCGAATATTGGCAACAGAGGCGAACTGTTGTTTAACTGAGTTAATTTTCTAAACTAAAGCGGAATTTTTGCCCTACAAGAACGGCAAAACAACATTTGTTACTTGTTAGAATGTTTAATAATAATAGTGTAGTTTCACTACAATGAACTCTTCCAATTATTACTATAATAGTTCAATGTTTTCGAAAACATTCGTCTTTTTATGTCCAAGAAAGAATCGCCGTCGCTTATCTACATCTACCATGTCTTTGCCGCATTGTAACTACACAACGTGTCATGGAATTTGGAGAAAGATCGTCTTGAAAATATAGTCATAGAAAGAAGTATAAATCTACCGTAAATCTATACGGCATTTTAGTCTAAATTGATAATGGGAGCTTGCAAATAGCAGTATCTTATTAACAGTTAGAAATTACTGTGTTTTTAAATTTGTGCCGAGCGGCGATATATGATCGAAAAGTCAAAGGAAAGTCTATTTATACAAATTGAGCTGAAATCGACAACTTTTGTGAAACTTACATGCGTAATAATTAACTGCAATAATTTTCGCGCCAGAATTTTTAATCAGATCCAAATTCCTGCAAGCGAGACAAGTCGATCTCGCGGCTTCACCGCTCACCGCTCGCTATTCGAAATCGACTTGTGGGCAAGTCTGCCCACATGCTGTCCAATCTCTAAACGTCAGATATATTTTCAATATTTAACCGTTATAATATTTTAAAATAACAAAATAATTTTAAAAATATTAACAATATATGTAAAATATATATCTCACTTGTTATATTAATAGAATACATTTGTTGTGTTTCTGAGTCAAGTTGGTGCGATTGCTTTACGTTTTCGTCGTACATGAACGGTCGTCAGTACTCGCACTGGACGACATGGCCATATAGGACATAAATAACTACAAGGCTAGCCACTTATCTGATATACTCTCCGACATCGAGTCCAATATCTCGCCTCGGAATCGTCGCAGAGCAATAAATTTCACATCGCCTAATAGTATGAACGTTCGTCTTTCGCAAGAACTTGGTTTGTTCACCATTATGGCAATTCCCGCGACACACGACGAACTTTGTTTGTCTAAAAATCAAAATTAAATTTTCGACAGAACCGTTCACTACATGATCGGGGGGGCTTGATCGTTGCCACGAGAGCGGCTCAGCAACCTGGCCTCTTCGTTCGAAAACACTCTGCCAAGGGGGAAGGATCTGCACTGGAATGAGGGGGCTTTCAAAACAACACGATAAAAAACACGATATAAATAGAAATGATTACTTTATCATCCGTATTCGAAAATAAACAAGTTTTGAATCAGTCCTACTTTTAGAAGCGTGAGAAATTTAGAAATATCTTGTTTAATATGAACTTTTCCTTACATATTTTTTAGAACAAAAACGTTATTTACTTATTATAACATTTAGCTTTTGACAATCATACCAATCTTTTTAAAGTATTGAACTTGACTTCGTTCAACCGTATGTTTTATTGTTTATATCGTGTTTTTTTTATCGTGTTGCTTTGAAATCCCCTTCATTCCAGTCCAGATCGTCCCCCCCCCCTGGCGTTGTGTTTTCGAACGAGGAGGCCAGGTTGCTGAGCCGCTCTCGTGGCAACGATCATGTAGTGAACGGTTCTGTCGGAAATTTAATTTTGAATTTTAGACAAACAAAGTTCGTCGTGTGTCGCGGGAATTGCCGCAATGGCCAGTGAACAAACCAAGTTCTTTCGAATAAGGATCGTTCATACTATTAGGCGATGTGAAATTTATTGCTCTGTGACGATTCTGAGGCGAGATATTGGACTCGATGTCGGAGAGTATATCAGATAAGTGGCTAGCCTTGTAGTTATTTATGTCCTATATGGCCACGTCGTCCAGTGCGAGTACTGACGACCGTTCATGTACGACGAAAACGTAAAGCAATCGCATCAACTAGACTTAGAAATACAACAAATGCTTTCTATTATTAACAAGTAAGGTATATATATATTTTTTACAAATATTGTTAATATTTTTAAAATTATTTTGTTATTTTAAAATATTATAACGGTTAAATATTCAGAATATATAGGACGTGCAGAGATTGGGCCGCCTATGGTCTACCTACCTCGCTCTGTGTACGGTTGATTTTAGAACAAAAGCTGATGAGAATGGGCTATAGGAAAACTTCTAATCTTTTGAGCATGAAATCAGCTCGATTATAAAACGTAAATGGATCCGAGACCACTTCTCTATAGCGTTCCAGCTATGATTGATCTAGCTGGAATCGCTCACAGCTCCTTTTTGGTTAGTCGCACCTTCTCCGAGACGCCCCTCAATGACTTCGCATCGAGTAAATAATTTATGCTCATTGTTGAAGCCAGAATTCAGCCGTACGCGTACGGAAATAATAATTGGTTATATCATGGCTTACTGAAAAGAAATGCAAAATGCAACTACATTTTTGTCAATGAAGTAAGTATTTAAAACACAACAAGACTGGAATAAAGTAATACTGTAAATAATTGTATCGAAAGTTAAAAGTTTATTAATAATATTCAACATATTTAAAGAATTACATAATAAAATTATACGTACAATATCAACATTATATGCAACTATTTAAACTCAGTGCATTTCCTCTAGCTCGCCCAAGCATTATACACTAACTTGATCTTAGAATTACTGTAATTATGTTGGTCAACTTGTATGTAACAGCTATATAACCTTGAGCGAGCAAATCTTGCCATTCTAGGCTATGTGTTTCCATTAAACACAACATTTAGGGCCCTCGCTAAGGGTTGTGGGGAGTGACAGACCCTGAAAACATCTTTTCGACAAAATAACAGATTTGTCAGCAAATTGTTTTCGTAGTCACCAAAAAATATTTAGAATTATAACAGTTATATTCAAAATTTTTATAATTTTACGAAAACATTCACAAAAATTTTAACACCCTCCCCCCAACGATTTTGGGAAAAGACGTTTAACCCGTTGTGGGCAACGATTTTGGAAAAAGATATAATGAACAATTTGTTCACGCCAGTAACTTTTTTCGTTTGCTATATACTTGCAGATATACAAATGTTTGTGTTTGTCGTTTGTGATAACATTTAGAAACTTTCTCATCGACAAAAACATGCACAATGGATTTGTAGAAAACGTGAAATAACTTGAAATGTAGAAAGAAGGAAGTTCGAAGAAATGTATCAATTGTTTTCTTAATAATCCATAGGACATCCAGTGTAAAGTTCCATTCTCATAGATGGTCTATAACGAAATGACTGCGGTAAAACTTTGACATAGCGAGCACTGATTGGATTTTTGAAACCATGAGTCACAACCGTTGTTTTATCTGTGTTTCCAGTGAAATTCTATTGAGAGAAAAAATATATTTCATGCGGGTGTGATACGGTTAGCATTTTCTGATGTTATTTCGATATTACCGCATTGCAGTTTAATTGCTAGTGACAGTGTTTAAGACTTAGTTTACTGGTTGCGCTTGCATAGCTACAGTATATTGGAATCAACTTGCGATTTAAACAAGGTGAAAACACAAGTAATAAAAGGTCTAAAAGAACACACGTTGCTACGACAAAAAATTACACGAACGAATTATGAGAACTGAAAGAAAAAGCTTCCATGTCTGCAATAGGAATGAAGAGATCTAGATAGAAAGATCGATACAAGCAAGGCTGCAGGGAAGACTATCAGTGAGGTTTAGAATTAACTTCCACTACCGCTACAACAAAGTAAAATTAACCAACTAGATTCATTGACTCTTCCTGGTTATAACCAATCAGATAAGTGCTAATCAGTGAAAGGTGCGTGGTGGTAGTGGAAGTAATATGCAATACAATATAATAAAATTTATTTATCCACGGTGGAATCTATATATATATATATATATATATATATATATATATGTATATATATATATATATATATATATATATATATATATATATATATATATATATATATATATATATATTCTATTATAATACTTGTTTACAGTTTTCCGGAACTGAGCAAACGATTGGAGCATTCTTATATTTTCTGGAAGGCTATTCCACAGTACTACTCCACTGTAGTGAAAGCTTCGCTTCAGATAATTAGTTCGTGGCTTGGGTAGATTTAATCTTATTTCAAAGTTCCTAAGATTATATTCTGAGCCACGAACTGAAAAAACATTTTCTACTGTAGATAGGTAGGTGTGTCACCTTTGAGTGTTTTGAACACCAAGCCAGCTTTAAATTTTTTGCGTCTGAACGATAAGTTATCCGAGTGTAGAGTATCAAGAAGCACAGTAGCATCGGTGTCATATAGCTGGACCTCGTAATGACCCTGATCGCCTGGTTCTGTTATTTTTGTAGTAGAACTTATAACGTTTCGCCAAGGCTATCCCAGACCGAGCAGCAGTAGTAAAAATGAGGTTGAATCACTGCTTGGTATACCTGGATAGCCGTGTTCATTGAAATTCAGGATCTTATTTACCTTACGTATCATATGTATTAATAAATGGTCACTAATAGATACGTGTATGACACCAGACTTCACAATATTTATTAGTGCATTGGTTAGGCATAAATCGATCAGAGTGCTAGATGTAGCAGTAATTCTTGTCGGTTCGTTTATTAATTGTTCTACATCGTATAATTTATATCAAGTATTTCTTTTACTTTATTCTTACTTGGTGACTCGGTCGTTGGGGTAAAATCAACATTTAAATCACCAAGCAGATAATACTCTAAATTTTCAGCATCGAACGATCCAATCGTTTGCTCGAATTCGTCAAAGTAACTAGTATAGGTAAATCAGGAGGTCTATACCATATACTAACCAGGATAGACTTAGATCGTGGTTTCTTAATTTCTACAACTAGATTTTCGAGAGTTTCAGATTGTAGATTATGTCGTATTTTGTAATTAATATTACTTCTAATGTAAATTCAAATGCCGCCACCATGACGGCCATTTGTACATCGATCTCTTCGAACGATTTCGAAATTTGGTATATGGACTTCATTGTCATTAATTGATGAAAAAAGTTTGGTCTCATTAATACATATGTCTACTTTATTATTACTCATAAATACTCGTAATTCATCTATATGGGCAAATAAACTATTTATATTCAAACATGCCATAGACATGCCCCGATGAAATGTTTTTTTTTCTAAATTATATAATGAGATATTTGGATAATTTGATTCGTTTGACTCACCCAAGGTTATCGACGATTGGTCATCTATACTTGGTTGTATTTCAGTATTAGCTACAGGCTCAGATTTATTATATAGCTACAGGTTCAGATTTGACTTGCACTGCCGCCATCGTTACCATTAAGTGACCATCAACCAATCAGGTGCGTTTGATTTATCCAATTAACCAATCAGATGCGTACTCAGCCAGAGAGAGAGGTAGTGCTAGTGGTAGCGGTAGTAGAAGTCAAATCTGAACCCTTATGAATTCATATAATTATGTGCAGTAATTTATAAGGATGATAAAACTGGTAATTTTATATGACGCAGAGACATGGGAAGTGAAGGAAAAACAGATGAAGAACTGGAAGTAGCGGAGATATGATGTGTTAGAGCTATTAGAAGAATAAGACGATGACATAAGGACGCATTTGGTAGAAATGACAGAAAATTCGAGAAAGTAGACTGCGATTAAAAATACAATGCAAATGGAAAGTGTAAGTGGAATTTTAGTTGGTCCCTTCCTGTACTCAGTCGAAAGTTCTTCTTTGGATTTTCCATTTACTAAACCTACCATGTTAGTTTCACCACGTGACCGGGCACGAGTTCATGTTGGCATCAAAAGGGAACGCAACCCGTCAACATGCTGCCAGGATCAGGTTTGAGCTGCATCAATTGCCACTCTACGCTACGCTGCAGAAACTACGATATGCGGTCTCTTAGTTTATTACTTACTTATTTAGGTAATAACTAATAAGCTAACCTTTACGCTGCCGGATTCCTCGTACAATTTCCACTGTTGACCATAACTACTGTGTGATACCGTATAAGATTTTACCCATTGAGGTAAAGCAGCATTGCAACGTCCTTGAGTAGATACACCAGTTATTAATTTGATATCACCCAAATCAACCTGTATCCACGCATTCTGCTGCCCGTTATTTGTTGGTGTCCACGCGCACTTACCACGAAATATATTGAGTCTTGCGTTGGCTGGTTTAAAAAACCCGTCATAAAACGACGATGCTGTGACGGCACTGTCCAATATTTCTCCACTCTGCATGCCCAATGGAGTACACGGTTCTAGTCGAAAAGACGATACAGAGTGAGACAGTATAAGAAAGAGGTAATTAAATTACAGGGATTTAGAAAATACAGCATTCAAATCTTTCTATATCGTATCTTACTAAAATGTACAGTATCAATTTCGTAAGTTATGTAGCGTATATGTCTGTATTGTGGGCAATGGAGAAGGTCAGACGTCTAACATAAAAGGAACATTTCTACTGAGAAGCTGGCCTCTGACTCTATTTGGGTTAGGCTGATTGGTTGAATAAACTAGTCAGCCAATCAGTGGAGCAAAAACTTGACTAAGATCAGATCTGAAGTAACTATGTAAAAACGAGTTAAAAATATATTTTTCAGGCATAGCTGGATGGTGCTTGCGTGGCATTTGTGGTTTGAGAAATATTTCTGATTGTCACATAATTGACGAGGTTTTACCAAGATCGTGCAAACTGCAACAAAAATTGTGACAATGTTTCCATGTCCATAACTACGTTTTTGGTTAACTGTGCAGCAATAGCTTTTGCTGTCTGCTAAGGACGATGTGTTCATATCTTGCAGTAAGTTTATAATGGGAATGATATATTTAAATAATATAGAGGATGGTAGCTATACATAGAGGGAGGAGCATACTGTATATTCAGCGCTTCCAGACTGGGAGCTAATTAGAAGGGAATGATAAAAATACGCTGGGGCAACAGGTGGGGAAATTGTCGTCGCGGACCAAATTTATTGCAGACGCTTTCTTATCGCCAGCAAAAATTGTGAAAACAACAAAAACACAGATTTCGCTACCTTGTTTTTCGTACTGCTGCAGAGGAAAAGTAAAACGTGTAATACCGCTCGAAAGTGTAATACCGCTCGAACTCTGGTTCAGCCTCTTAAGTGCTGCTATTAGTTATAGTTTTATTTAGATAGTTTTTTATTTTTGTCGTGCCCGCAGTAATTGGCTCGCGCTGTTGCGGTCACCCTGCCTATTGTCATGTATATTATTCTTGTTCGTGTTATAGTTTTGTGTATTGTAATATGGCGAAACTAACAAACTATGAGTTACTATCGCAAGGAAAGTGCTACCTCGGGGATCAAAGGTACCCCCAAGGGATCAAAGGCAGCATGCACAATTTATTGAATAAAGGTCTGTTTATATGATCCTACTTTGCCGGGACGAGATGTGAGGCAGGATTATTTTGATGTATTGAAATAAGTTACAGTGCACGATTCAGCAAAAAACTTTATTTTCTAGAGATAGGTTATAGTTAACTGTAATCTTGTTGAACTACAAGATCTTCACTAGTATACAGGGTGTCCCCCAAAAAAGTGACACAATAGAAATTATCCCATTGTTAATTATTGAATGCCCTAGCAGTAAGTTGATCCCACAGGTGCATAAACTTCTGCTTCTGGAATTTAAAATAAAAAAAGCAAACCGTTTACTATTGTAATCGTTTTGCTTGACTCGGGCGTTAAAATATCTGGACAAAGCGAAAACGTTTTAAAATGCTTAAATGTAAATACAAGTTCATTAAATTCCCAGGCGTGTAATCACTCGCGTTTAAGAGCGGCTTAAGAACAATGAGATAATTCCTATAGTGTCACTTTTTTGGGGGACACCCTGTGCAACATTTGAGTTCGGATAATCCATTCAGCACCAGCGCTCTCCCCTTGACGAGTAAAATTTTCTGGCGTTAGACAGAGTAAAATAATAGAATAGGGCACATCAGGATGCAATACAAATCAATGGATTAACCAGCATTTGAATCGCCTAGCCTTCCAACATGTAAACAGGCCCACAAGATGGCTGTTCAGAAAGTAGAAATTTCTTGCTTTTGTATGTATAATTATAATACTGCATGTCTGTGGTGAAGCCACCCATAGCAACAGGTCATGCTATACAAATTTTTAATTATTTGCATTATTCAAATGATGCAGGTTTAGCATAGTATGACTAGTTGCCATCGCTGACTTGCCACAGAATACTGTACAGGGTGTATAAAAAAAGGTAATCGAAATTCAGCGCGCTATTATACGTGAATTACTTGCCGTATGAACAATTGGTTTTCATAATCGGAAAGATCAGGCTTTTAGCTATTCAATGACATGCTTTTCATGCCAAGTAGAGAAAAAATAAGCATGTACGAGGCCGATTAAAAATGTTAGTCAAAATCGCATATTTTCACCTCTGTGCCTAATTAAAACAATGCATAACAAAAAAAAAGCAATTAATCACGAACGTTAGCTAAGATTTATTCCTACTGAATAATGAATATGAATATGTGTGCAGTTTAATGAAGTGAAATTCATCAACTTAAATCCTAAGGGGGGTTCATTTTCAATGGCTTTAGACCCAACTCTCAACGGTGAAAATATGCGATTCTGACTAACATTATTTGTCGGATTCGTATTTGCTCATTTTTTATCCATTTGGCATGAAGAAGATATCATTCAACAGCTAAAATCATGATCGTTCCGAATGTGAAAAAATCTCGTTCATACGCGGAGTAATTCAGATACAATAGCGCACTAAAGTTCGATTACCTTTCTTTTATGCACCCTGTATAATATCATATATGGAAATACTAAGTCAGTTTTTGTCCAAATTATTACTTTAATGGCACCTTCAAGGTTATAGCACTACCGAAGAACAACCAAACAATCTGCTAATTGGGAGACAAAATCTATTTGTTGACATTTTGTTTAATTAATAGCTTCAGATGACATCATTCATTGTAATGATTGAGATTGAGTTCTGCATAACTGTATAATAAGAAAGAAATTGTGAGCATTATTGAAAATTATAGTATACCCTGAAATGTGGTGACACAGCAAGGTGAATATAAGTAAGTCGGTAGGATTATTTCATATTATGCTAACAATGGACATATCTCAGAGATACAAAATAGACCGTACAACAATACACACTGGGTTGCTATAGGAATCTTATTAAGTCTGATTATTAATTATTGCGTAAAGACATGAATAAATAACATTCCGTGTTTGTTTTTGTCAATAAACACCATAAACTCATTGCTTGGCACTTTCCCACACAAATAAATATAAGACAATCAGTGGCCTATTAAAACTGCCGACAAATTCATGAAAGCACATTGCTTTTCTCTAGATTGAACACTAAAAATTTCATCGCCTTGATGTATATTAGAAGATAGCAACTTTGGTTGAAATGTTTTGTATGGGCTTCACCATAATGGGTGAATTCACCCTCATAGGTGATGTTGTTTTTGAATGTCTGGGCAATTCAGTGGCAATGCCATTTACCACAAAAGATCTATACAACAGGTAAATCATTATTTGGTAATCTACTGCAGTTAATAAGTTTTCATATACAGGCGAATGAGGTCAAACTGTGTTGATAACTTGACCATTGAATGACAGATCTCGTACGAAAAGTCGTTCGACATGTTTGTACATGAAGATGAAACACCAATAACTTAGGTGGGTGTTCTACAGACAAAAGATTTATACCTGGATCTAACATTATAAAACCAGTATTGATCGCTTCAAGTACAATTTGTCTCCTTGTAGTAAGACATTATTAGATGTTTATCTTCGACCACAAGGATATTCGAGCTGTAAAAGTCATAAAAGCACATTGCTTACCTCCAGAATGAACACTAAAACGTTCATCGCCTTGACGAAAATCGGCAGAAAGAAATAGAGCTATAGTTACTCCAAAAAATGCTCGTTTCTTTAATTCCTTTTCACCCAGTCGATTATTGTAAAAAGTTAAAAACTCAGAAATATTATTCATTCCCCCCAAAGATTCGAATGTACTGTTCCCCGTAATTACGACAATCAGAAAGACAGACAGACACAAGATTTTGATTCGAGTTCACATAGATCCGCGCGAAAGACTGGGTCAAGTAAACTCTGCAGAATCCTGACCAAGCGTCAAGAATTGTGTGCTGCCTAACTAGCGCTCGGCAGCTATAAATAATAAATAAATAGATAAAAGAAAGCTAGCTGACGTAAACGTTAATAAACGTTAATGAAGACCACAATTACTTGTCGCAATCAGGAAATATGTAGTCAAGAATTCTTCGTTGAAATGTGGCCGAAAATGACGTTTCTTAAATGTGTTTTTGATGGCAAATAACCTCGAGCAGGGAATTAATATTGATGGAATATTACTTGAAATGTGCAGTACATGCGTTTGTCGTCCAGGGCAAAGTATAAATATTTGGTTTTTGAGTGATATACTGAGCGTCAACGATCATCGTCAAATTTAAGTATGTGAGCTATTTTGCTAAAATTGCTTGTTTTTCCACCCTATTTTTCTCATCATATAGGCCTACAGGTTGTACCAATTGTAATGATATGACGTGATACGGACTGCATGAAAACGAGGGCAGCCTCGTGGGACAGGGACGAGACAGTTTTGCATGTTTTACTTGTAGTCATACTAGTGTGAACTATAACTTAAAAGGAATAATTATAACTTAACATGGTGTCAGGAGTAATTAAACCTTACTAAACGAACCTACGATGGCATCGTCGATACCTGCACCAAAACCACTCAGTTTCACAGGAAATGTCGCGGAGAACTGGAGAAAATGGCTCCAGCAATACAAGTTGTTCATGGCCGCCAAGGTGAAGAACAGGAAATCGGAAAAGTCTTCAGTGTGGAATGTTCTTAACTTTAGCAGGAGAGACAGCGATTGAAATTTATAATACCTTTACGTTTACAGAAAGTGAAATCGACAAGATCGAGCCTCTTATTCATAAGTTCGAGGCTTACTGTACGCCGAAGAAAAATCCTACGTACGAGCGACATGTATTCCATAGTCGAAAACAACACGTGGATGAAACATTCAATCATTTGTCTAACAGATCTTAAAATTATAATACAAAAATGTAGTTACGGGCAGATAGCCGACGACTTATTGCGAGATCAAATCGTGGAATGCATCCAAAGCGACATAGTACGGGCAAGACTGTTACACGAAAGTGAACTTGACCTGCAAAAATGCATTAATATTTGTAGAACAGACGAAGCGGCCACCGCTCGAATGAAATCGTTGTCAAACACATGTGATCTCAACAACGTTGATCAAGTGAATA